CTCACGCGTCGAATTTGTTGTTCATCCTCTTCCGCCGCTCTCCCTCAGTCGCGCCGCCTCGCCTCCCTTCCGGCCTCAAACTCTGCCCCCCTCAAACTACTTCCGCCAGGCGCTGCTCCCCGAAACCGCCCAGACTTCCGTCACCCCCTCCCAAACCACCCCGGAACCTTTCTCCCTCGGCAGCTGTTTCCGACCGGCTTGGCGAAGGTGGAGGGATCGCGTCTGGCCACGTGATCGGACGCCGCGGCGCCCCGAAGGGAGTGGGTTGGTCTCCTTGAGCCGCAGGTGGCGCTCTCTTGCCGTGGGAAGCTCTCTCTGTGGGCGGAGCTTTCGGGGGCCCGCCCCACCCCACCCCGCGTGCCAGGAGCTGGGAACGTAGAGATAGGAACAAAAAAATAAGAGAGGCATCTCCCTGAGGTGGAGAGGGCCTTTCCTGGTTCAAAGTCAGGAGACCATTTCGGCAGCAGGAAGCAGGTGAAATCTGCCCATTGAAATCAATGGAGAATTTCAGAATTTCTGCAGATGGGCTGGGGGGCATCAGCCTAGTTTTATATAAATTCTGTGTGTAAAAAACAATAATAAATTTATCTTGCAAGACTAGCAAACAGAAGCATTTAATCAAAATATTTCAGCTTCAGCCTTCTTCAGTATATATTGGATTTATTTAAAATATTTTTGCCCCACCTTAAAAAGACCCAATTTTCTCCTTCAGTCACCTTTTTAAACAGCATTCCTTCCCTTTTGTGTTGAAGAGGTCAAGAGTCGTAGAACTCCTTTAGCCCTAAGCGGTTAGATTGTGCAGTCAGTAGCGCAGGGATATTGACAAGTCCCAAGTCTGAGTCTTTGGGTCCAAGTCCCAAGTCCGAGTCCCTATTAAAAACAAGCTTTATTCCCCCCAAGAGAAAACGGAGGGGGAGTGGGTGGGTTCCAAGTCACGAGTCTAGTCCATTGAAAAATAAAAGTAAGTCAAGTCACTGGTGTGACTTAAGTCCTTCTTGACCTCAAGTCTCGTCACTTGAGTCACCACCCCAGCAAGGGAATTAACACAGCATTCCTATTTCTTCTGCTTGCTTTCCATTCTAGGAGCAATCGGCTAAAATCCTGTTGTGCCATGTACTGGCATGGTTAACTTGAGTTCGCTCAGGTGTGCCACAGTTTTCTCCATCTTCTGCCCAGCTTGCTTTGCGGGTCAAGCCTGAATATTTCTTTCTGTTGATATATCTTTTCTCTCTTACTTCGTTGATGAGACTGCGAGGATATGGGTTTTGTAGTACTTATTTCCCAGGACTTGCAGGTGTTTCATCGTGCTTGGAGATTGTTCCTGCGAAGATGAGCCAAGAGTGCTAACCAAAACATGCCTTGCTAATGGCGAACCAGCCTGGGAGGAGAGAAGGAGTCGTGGAAAGTTACAGGATTGGGATCTTTTCTCTCTTACTTCGTTGATGAGACTGCGAGGATATGGGTTTTGTAGTACTTATTTCCCAGGACTTGCAGGTGTTTCATCGTGCTTGGAGATTGTTCCTGCGAAGATGAGCCAAGAGTGCTAACCAAAACATGCCTTGCTAATGGCGAACCAGCCTGGGAGGAGAGAAGGAGTCGTGGAAAGTTACAGGATTGGGAGTGGAGTTGATGCCTTGCTAATGGCGAACCAGCCTGGGATGAGAGAAGGAGCCGTGGAAAGTTACAGGATTGGGCGTGGAGTTGCGGACAAAGGACTGTAGGGAGATTGGATACCACCACGGGACAGAGACTTTGCTTTAAATTATGGAAGAACGGGGAGGTTAAGTAAGTTTTTGGTGTTTGAGGATAAGTTGGAGAAGGAGAAGAAGATGGAGGACAGGTTTACAGCCTGCGATGATGGATTGAAGACTTAGTCAAGGTAACTTAGAATAGCCAGCAAGTAAATAACAAGGGGACGTGGTGGCGATGCAGGTTAAACCGCAGCAGCCTCTGTGCTGCAGGGTCAGAAGACCAGCAGTCGTGAGATCGAATCCACGCGACGGACTGAGCCCCCGTCGCTTGTCCCAGCTCCCGCCAACCTAGCGGTTCGAAAGCATGCAAAAGGCAAAAATGCGAGTAGATTAATAGGTACCACCTCGGTGGGAAGGTAACTGCGTTCTGTGTCTAGCTGCGCTGGCCACGTGACCACGGAAGATTGTCTTCAGGAAAAAAACGCTAGCTCTGTGGATTGGAAACGGAGATGAGCACTGCCGCCTAGAGTCAGACACGACTGGACTAAATGTCAAGGGGAACCTTTACCTTTACCTTTAAGTAGTAAAAGGGTTAACTAGTAAGTCTTTTATTGTTTTATGGGAAAGGCTTGCAGAAGCTTACCTAAGGCCTAGATACTTTGCATTTAACAAGCACAATTGTAATTTTTATATTTTTCTCTGTTTTATAACTTTTTTCTCTTTTAAAATAAATATTCTATATTTTTTTACCCCAGTGTGATTCTTGGAGGCAAGGGTGAGAGTTCCTAAATGAAGTGCCTTGGCCACAAGGGTTTTATTTGATATTTTTGGTTTTGGGTGTTCTACCTGGTCAGGCTGGTGTGTAAGTACTAAAGTACACAGCTAAGAGTTTTAAGGTAAAATAAGTGAGTAATTGGAAATCTAGGGTCAAAAGCTCACCCATCGTTGCCCACACATGCACCTATTAGACCTCACCCAGTTTCGGTTTCATAGGTGGTGGAGGCTGGGAACTAGAGTTTAGCTCCTTCCCTTAGTGGAATGCCTGCTCTAAGAAGACACATTCCTGACAGAGACGTAAATCATGCACTTGATAAAGGATGTTGATTATTTTCTCACTCCTTTGGTTTGAGATCTAAACCTTGCACCTGGTAAAGGAAGGGCCACACCAAGACTACAACACATGATGAGTCATTAGAAACTTGATCAGCTGATTGACTGACAATAGCCAAACACTGAAATTGTCAATGAGGTCAAGCAACAGAGGGTTTGCCGCCATAAGCAAGAACTTTCACTGGCTGAAATGAGATCCAAGTGGAAAAACTCATTGGGTAGCAATGAATGGTAGTACACCATATCCTCCATGGATGCTCCTGCAGAAAATTGAAGTCGAATCTCACTCATCTTCTTTGAAAGGTTTCCAGAAGTATAACAGAAAATGGACGTCGTGATAGTTGATTTCCCTTTGACAGGTCAGATAAACGGATAACTGAACCTCTCCCTATGACTCCAACAAAACTTAGTACGCCATCAAGAAGAAAATCAGAAGGCTGTGTTCATCATAGCTGGCCTTTATCCCTAAAAGAGTTAATTCTAGGCTGAACCAGAACAAAATTTTACACCCTGTTCAACTTACTTTCTTTTTGTGGATATCTTATAAGTCTCGGTCCCTGACAAATTGGGTTCTCAAAAATATCTGGTTTTCCTTCTTTTATTTTTTTTCAAAAATACATATGAAAATGTGTGTTGCTTATATACTGCCTCGCTGGGCAGTTTACAAGAGAATTATGCAGGCTGCACATTGCCCCCTCCTCCCAGTGAGCTGGATACTCATTTTACTGACCTTGGAAGGATGGATAGTTGAAGCAAACTGGAGCTGAATTCCTGGGATTGAACTCAGGTTGTGAGCAGATTTTTGGCTAATGTAGTTTAGATTCCAAAAGATCTCCTGTATGGAGAATTAGTGCAGGGAAATCGCCCCAGAGGGAGACCACAGCTGCAATACAAGGACATCTACAAGCGGGATCTGAAGACCTTAGGAATGGATCTCAACAGATGGGAATCCTTGACCTCTGAGCGTTCAGCCTGGAGGCAGGCGTTGCATCACGGCCTCTCCCAATTTGAAGAGACCCTTGTCCAGCAGGCTGAGGCAAAGAGGCCGTCCCAAAAGCAGCCAAATCATGGAGCTGGACAGGGGACAGATAGTATTTGTCTTCAGTGTGGAAGGGATAGTCACTCTCCAATTGGCCATCTCAGCCACACTAGATGCTGTTCCAAGAGCACGTTATCATAGTCTCCCAAAACTGAAGGATGTCTACTTCTAGATACATTTACATAGTCCAGACTGAAATGAAATCCTGAATATGGTGCAGAAGCGTATGCAACCAGAATACAGGCAAATTGCAAACCCAAAATTTGCAAGGAACGGTAACAACCCATTTTCTGCCCCATTACCTGTGAGACAAAATGCAGTTTCCCTCACTTCTGATACCTGGATATGTTCAAATACAGTTTTAGAAGTAAGGCCTCTCTCACTTAGCCAGAGGAAGGCATTCTCTTCCACCCACTCATTTTTTTATTGAGCAGCCAGCCATCTTAGGAATGTTGCCAGGACACAATGAGGAAATAGTCACAAAGAGATGGGGACAAATAAAAAAAATGGTGATCCATTTTGATTCGTGATTCATCAGATCAACGAATACGAATATACAAATATTCTTTGACGAATCAGTAAATCAATCTTTCGATTCATCTTCACTTTAAATGGCTATAAAACTGCTCCCAAGCACCTGGAGACACCAAATTTGCAGGGAAGCTTCCTCAGTCGCATTTCTACAACTCCAGAGAGTTTGATAAACATTGGATCACAGACCCCTGAGATATATAGACACAAAGAGGACACCCCCAGGAAAGCACCCCCCCAAGTACTTAGAGCATTCGGAATTACAACGGAGCTCCCTATGTGTTTTCGCAACACACTTGCCAACTTTGCTGAAGACTGGACATCGGACATCCAAGCTATTCACCCACAAATTGGGTTCCCCCAGGAGAGTCAGCACAGAAGCCCATGGTATTAAGGGAGTTATTTTTGGGCCCAGCAGAATGAGAGGTCTTTGGCACTGAGAGGCATGCATGAGGCATTGGGTTTGTCTGCAGCAACATTACAAAAAAACAAAAAAACAAAACCCGGCTTCATTTAAGGTAGGGAACCTGCAGCTGAAGCCATCATCTTTAA